TCCTTAGAGGGTCTTTCCTGCGAGAACCGGTAAAATTCTCATTCTGTTGGATTTTCCCCATTCCCCAGAGAAGWCTTAAGGGAAGTCTTGCCTCTCCGCATCTCAGATCTGCAGGCGGCTACCTGCCACCACCACATCCACCCCCAACGCAGCGCTACGCGGGTCCTTTCCAGGGGTCACTTCAGGGAAACTCAGCCCCAGTCCGGGAAGTTGGGGAGCGCTCTGCGACGGGGAGGCTCTGGACCCGGCCAGGGCGCCGCTGGATCCCCGCCGTCGGCTTGGAACCGCGCCCACAGCCCTCTCCTCCCGCCTAGCTCTCCCCGGGGCCCTTGTCCGGCCTCTGCGGGAGACGCACGGTCCCCCGGCGACTGGCTCTCACCCAGGCGACTGCCCGACGGTTTCTGGGGAGGGCGCCGACTGGGACGCGGGTTGGCAAGCTGCTCCTCGCCTCCCTCCCGGGTCGGGGAACCGCCCCACCTCCACGCGCGCTCGGGCGGCGCTCGGACCCTTCCGCAGCTGCAGGTGCCAGTGAGCCCCAACGCAGCGCCACGTCGCCCTGCCCCGCGCTCGCAGTCGCCGCCGCTGTGTCCAGGAAGGTAGGTGCCTTTCCTTCATCTCCTTGCTGTCTGAGTTTTCTTCTCCCGCTCCCTGGATGGAAGCATCTTTCTGAGCTGCATGGGAGGAGTGAAGGATGAATGGGGACCAAGTGAGTGGTGAGATGCATATATTCCTCCTGCTCCTACTGAATAATAAGGGCCCTACTGGGAAACTAGGAAGTTAAGTGTAAAGAGAGATAAGAGAAAGGCAGCCGGGTGAGATAATCCACGCGACCAGAGGCAAGATGGGACCAATCCTAGCTACTCTGCACCTCACCTGCTCCCTGAGCCCCACACTGACTCAGGCCCAGACATAGATTTCAATAAATATTTGCTAGGTTGAGAGGTATTTCTTCTTGTTTTCCCTATCCAACTTCAAAATAAGCAAAATCTACTTCTGATGGTTTTCTTCAGAACCCCACAAGGCTGCAGTATTTGAATATGTTTATGTGGGAGAGTAAAATATGTTGTATTCACATAACGGACTGCTGTATGTCACTTAAAAAGCAGAAATCAGTCTGGTGGGGTGGTAACCCAGAGAAATATAGGATCACATGCTCTATGCCAGCCTTGCAATTTAACAATACTCTCAGCAACTTAAAGAGACCCTGTCTCAAAATTAAAAATGAGAGGTGGGGATGTAGCAAAGTGGTAAAGTGCCTCTGGGTTCAAACCACAGTACCCTACCCCCTTGCCCCCCCCCAAAAGAAAGCAGAAATCAACATATATGTACCCCTAAATCTTAAAAATATAATGGCAAATGAGCATAGCAAGATGCTAAGACACTTGTCATATGACATGTAAAATTGTAGAAAGTGGAGTGTAAAAGGTACACCAGATTCATGATTGTGGCTGTCTTTGGGAAGTATGATGGGGAATCAATATGGCACAAGGGTTAATGTGGAAATAATATTTACCTATAATTTTTGATATCTAAAAATAATGAAGCAAGATTGAAAATACAAATAAAAATTACTAAGTGTATTGTTAACTTGGATGTTTTTCATAATATTTTCTTATTTCAAAACTCTGTTTCTTCACTGGATTGAACAGGGGGAATGGAGGAAGGGAGGGGAGATGGGAATGGGAAAGACAGGAGAATGAATCTGACATAACTTTCCTATGTTCATATATGAACATCCTACCAGTGTAACTCCACATCATGTAAAACCACAAGAATGGGAAGTCCATGTATGTGTGATATGTCAAAATACACTCTACTGTCATGTATAACTAAAAAGAATAAAAAAAAACATCTGTTTCTAAATATTTCTCAATTTAAGTGCCCAAATAAAGAGAAATAAGATATATCTCTGCCCATGTTGTGACAATGCAATCTAAACAGTTCTATCAGAAGTTGCCGCCTTCTTGCATGACACTTCATGTTCTCTAGTTCTAGAAGATGACACCTCTTTACCCAGAAGCCTTAGCTGCACAAAGAAGTTCACTTCCTGCCAAATCCCAAGAGTATTGTCCAAAGGTGAAATATTGATATTGGAGAACTAGTCTGCAGTTAATAATCTGAAAATTGGCCTTGTCGTGGTAGAATCTGAACACTCCCTGTGTTCCTGCAAGACAAATTTCTCTTCCTTTTTATGTGTTCTACATTTAGGATTTTCATTTCTATGCATGGAGGCAGCCTCTTAATGCTTATCTAATGCTGTTGAATTAAAACCAGGAGATGAGGAAAAGTAGGGTATTTGGTAGAAGAGAGACCTACAGTTCTACTGGCTTTTTTTTTTTTTTTTTTTTTTTTTTGGCAGAATGAAAAGAATGCCTCTTGATTTTTCCAGCCAGAGGAAGATTGGTTTCTTTTTGGTTATAAGGCTGACTTATTTAATTTAATTAAATTAACTAAATTTAACTGAGGGAGAGACAGAGGAGGGCAATCCTAGATGGGATTGTGTAGGTTAGGCCCAGTGGAGAAGATATTAAACCATCACCCAATAATCCAACCTGCTGCCCCTCCTCTAAACATCCACAAAAGTGGTCTCCCCATTTATGTATTTTCTTCTCACTAAAAATCACTGAGTCTGTGTGAACAAATTGTCTACACCTCAGAATGAAACTCTTTGATGTGAAAAATTGTGATAACATTCTTTCCTCTTTTTCCTTCTGATTTGACAACTTGTAAGGTCAATGCTTGGTACCTTTTATGTCACAGCAAGACCGGCTACTTGAGAAAAAACTCAGGTATGAAGAAAAATACGAGAATGATAGGACTGTAGTGTGGTGTAAAAGCTACAAGTACTCAGATTTTAGGCGCAAAATGAGAGAATATAGTCCCAGTCTATAACATTAACAATTGCAATTCCTTAAAATTCATGTTCTCCGTTCTCCTTAGGACCAATCACTTCATTAGATCTTTATACTMTTCCCCTCTTGTTAGAGACACAAAGTGCATCCCACTTGCTTCTTGATTGCCATTCCTGCAAGAGTTTAAGGTCTTTTTGATTTCTTAATCTAGAAAGACAATTGAGTTTTCCTGTCCTCCTGGGTCTCAATAATTCCACTGAGCTTCCTTCAGCCACCTATTACCACCTGCCCCCATCCTCCTCTCTTTCATCCCATTTAATTGGTTGTTTCCTAATTGCTGACTCTTTCTTTGCTCTCCATTTAATGATTCTTTTTAAAGTCTATAAGGCATTTTGCCAGCAGTTGGCTTTTAGTATGAAAAGTAGCATTTCCTTAATGAGTCTGCTTTCCAAATGAAAGCTGTACTTACATTTTCCTAATGGGGAAATGAGCTTTTCTTCTACACTTGCTGAGGGGCTTCCCAAGTTCTTTTTCAAGAATTCATCCACAATGCATGTTAAGTTGGACCCTTGCTTCAATTCTGCCTCCAATCTGTATTTCCTTCAAGTGTAAAAAGTCTAAGAGGAAATCAATTGACAGGTGTGTAAAAAGTCCAAGAGGCAATCAATTGACAGGTGTCAACACTTAAAAAAATCATGCACCACTATGGAAAACTGCTATTAGCAAAGTGGCAGGAGCTGATATTAATTCTTTCTGTACTATGTGCCAAGCATCATGTTAATCGCCTTGTAGAAATTGTCTCATTAAATATATCCATGAGCCATCTTTGTCCCAATCAAGAAATTTTCTCAGACCATATAGCTGAGCTGAATTTTAAAATACTATTTTGTAAAATGGTCAGTTTTACTCTTTCGTTAATTGAAAGATCTGGTCCTCTGGTCCCAAGTTTCTACTTGGTAACAATCTCTTCATCTTAGAATAGTTAAGTCCTCACCGTGCTCTAGTGGTCAATACCTGATCTGGTTTGCTCATTTGCATGAACGCCTGCCACTTAGARCCATCTGAACTTGAGACTCCAGAGGAAGACAAATTATTTCCCCATTCTGGAGGCCAGAGGCTAAGTAACTGTTCTCAAGCTGTGATCGTTGTTGTCAGTTTTAGTACTGGAACACGGCCTACTGACTGTCCTTACCAACTCCAGAGAAAGTAAGATTCTTCATTGTTATGTTGTAAAGGGGAACAAAGCCATAACTGCATAATTTTGAAGGATTTTAATCTCTCAGATACATCATTTAATTTTAGACAACAATTACTAAGCACTTATGCTCTGAAAATACTTTGCTGAATAAATGTATCTTAGGCTATGTCTATGTACCTCAATACATAAAGGCATGTATTTTCATAAATGGTGTAACATATACGTAAATACTATATAATGAACATTTAGTCATATAGGAGCTAGTCATATATAAAATTATATATATATATATATATATACATATACATGCGGGTATATATGTGTACGTATATATGTATACATATACTTGTGTATATATGTGTATACACTTATGAAGAGTTGAATGTATGTATATCACATTTAAGTCTCCTTTGAGGTAAGGACCATTATCATTTCCAAGTTCAGGGGAAGGAAAAAAATGAAACACATTTACAGAAGTTTACCCACTTTCTAGTGTGGTAAAGCCCGACTCAGAACTTGCTTCTTTTACTGTGAGATAACTTCTGGGTCAGGAGGGAAAACATGGCAAATGCAGCCTTATGACTAAAAAGGTGAAGTTGCATATAACATAAAAAGAAAATATAAAATTAGCATTTTTCTAAAGTATATAAATATTCACAAATATTATTTTGTCTTACACTTAAATAAAGCATTGCTAGGCTCATTTTAAAATTTTCTTCATACTTAGAAAACTATTTTGTTTTCCTCCTACTTTGTAAGTCCAGGTTTGCTAAGGATGAAGCCAGGTGGCAGGTTCTTCTATTGCTTTCTGTCTTATTACTTCTAAAATCATAATTTGCAAGGACAAAAATTTCCACTGCAGTGATACAGATTAGGTTAATATTTTGCCAGCCTCTACTCAGGGCCTCTAGAGTATACCAYATATTAAAGATATCATTTCTTTTTCTTTCCTAGATACCCAGCTAAGTTTCTGGGGCTTGTTTTGAGCAAAGATGAGTATTTCTTCCTGGATGATGTAACTGGAGAGTCCAGATTTGGACAGACTTGATCATGGGAGCCAATACCTCAAGCAAACCACCAGTGTTTGATGAAAATGAGGATGGTAAGAGATGTGGGGCAGTGGCTTGAAAAAAATGGAATTTTGTGACATTCCAATATAAACTTTTAGTTTTATAAGTAAATGCAAGCATGGTCTATAGGCCCTTTAAGGAAAAAGGTACAATTGCAAAAGTAAGGTCAAGGACCCTGTATGCTACAGTTAGATTGGACTTTTCACTTTCTGTGGGACCTTTGGCAGATTGATGGATTGATTGACTTCTTTTATTCATTTATTTATTTATTGTGGTACTGGGTATTGAACCCAGGGATGCTTTACCACTGAGCTACACACTGCCTTTTTAATTTTTTTTTTTTTWTATATTGAGACACAGTTCCCCAAGTTGCTGAGGCTGGCCTTTAACTTCTTATTATTTTTAAAAATATTTTTTAGTTGTAGTTGGATGCAATACCTTCTTCTTTTTTTTTTTTAATATGGTGCTGAGGATCGGACCCAGCGCCTCGCACATGCTAGGTGAGCGCTCTACCCCTGAGCCACAACCGCAGCCCCTGGCCTTTAACTTTTGATTCTCCTACCTCAGCCTGTCACATGGCTGGGATTACAGGCCTGTGTCAYTGCATCCAACTGGCARGTTTTTAATCACAACTATACCAATGTCCTCCCTTGTCTAAAGGGAGCTGTGGTTGGGCACATGGTGGAGAATTCAATGATTTGTTTGTTCTCTATGTTGTTCCCTTGACAGCTGAAGTTACCCTCATTGCTAGTTATAGATAATTTTTTGAAATATCAAATTAAATGTGAATGATTGATATGCTTTATAATACAAGTTATTGTACCTTGTATAACTTTTCTGTATTATAATAATTCTGTCTAATAAATAATTCTGAGTTTCCAGCTGTCATGCTTCAGGGTTCTAGACAAATCTCAAATGCTAGTTATAGAAAAAAAAATCAGTTTTATTGGAGAAAAGGGAAACCTCCCAGGCCAGGTTCAGCAAGACAGGAAGTAAAACCCTAAGTCTTCCTGATTTTCCTGTCATCCCCCGGTGAAGCATGATGTCACAGGCCTGGACCTCCCCATGCCATGTTTTCTTCTTGTAGTGGAAGCATGAGCCRCCTTGTCGGAGTGTGTAGAATGGCAACTGTTCGTAGGTTGTCTTAGAAAAAGAAAGTCCCAGGTTCAAGAGAGTAAGTTGTTTAGGCCTCCAAGATAGAATCTCCAGAATAATTTCCAGGAGTTCTGCTAATTGGACCACAAAGGGAAAGAATGAGCTCAAGTTCAGGAGATCTAATGCCAGTCCTACTTCCAGTTACCCATGAGGCTCAAGAAGTTTATTTACTCATTTAATCTTCAATTTCCTCATCAATAAAGTGAGGGGATCCGGTAAACTTCAAGGTCCTTTCCAATTGAAAAATGGATCATTTTGAGGTCTTGAACCTACTTTGCAAAATTATGAAGCAGCCTCTAAATCATCACGGTAAGTTTATGGTGTTGGCCTGTGTGTCTGCTGAAATAGACTGCAAATAGCAGCAGCTGATCCAGAAAGGAYGTGCTTTTCCTTTCTGTGTAACAATCCAGACATAAGGACTCCAGGGTGTGGGGCCACAAAGGGTTAGGGACCCTGGCTCTAGCTGCCTTGCTTTTTTCCATCTCTGCAGTGGTGCCCACCCTCATGCCTCAGGATAGCTCACTTCCACATTCAAATTCCTGCCAGTGAAAAAGGAGAACAGTCAGGGAGATTATGTTCACCCCTTTTAAGGATTTGACCTGTCCTGTCACTTTCACTCACATGCACTTATCTAGTTATAAAGAGAGACCAGGAAGTGTAACTGGTGTGTTATCTTGTGTGGTCACAAACCTTCTAAAAATAAGAAGTTCTCTTTATGACAAGAGAAGGGGAGAATCAGCAGTTCATCATAGTTGCAAAACAGTTATATTTGCTATGGTCGAGGGACACGATCTTAGTTTTGAATATTTGGATGGAATCACCTTTAAATGCAAACCATATAACTGATCAGTATGCCTTGTTCAAGCTATTTACTATCAGCCTTACTACCTGCATCCTTACTGCCTACATAAGATATTCCACAGGGACCACAAAATTACATAGCTGGAAAGAYCTTAAGAAAAAACACTTTCCATTGTTATTTTTGTTGCCTTACTTTGTTTTACCAAGTAGTAAAAGCAAGGATCTAGAGACCGATGATATTACATGACTTTTTTGTCTCTGAAGTGGAAAGACAAGTCAAACATGCTTTTCATTTATTTGGTTCACTCTGCTCCCTATGGCTTCAGAACTAATGTTTGGCCAGGCACTGTGGCCCAAAATCTGTTAATCTCAGTAACCTGGAAGGCTAAGGAAGGAGGATCACAAGTTCAAGACCAGCCTGTGCAAGTTAGTGCAGCCCTAACCAACTTAGTGGAGACCTTGTCTCAAAATAAAAAAAAACTTCAAAAGGGTTAATGCTTGTTTTTTGCACAAGGCAGGCCTTCATAGAACAGAATGGAAAGGAAAGGCCAGCTTCACGCTTATAATTTGCTGGGGATACATGTGATTTGAAGATACTAGGATAGCATTATGATGAGAAAATGCAGCCAGCCGTTCGCATAGGGTACCCAAAGATTGTGAAAACTGGAAAATAAGGTGTCACTTTCCAACTGGCTTCAAGGACTATTAAAAAAAACTAAGTTGGAAGAGAGTTAGGCTTCAGAAGCAGCCAAATGTTTCTTAAAACCCAWTTTGTTCCATTGTCCCAGATTTGGAATACCTATAAAAATTGAAATATAGTATGGAATATATAATGTGGTTATATTATATGATATGGTTATATTATATTGTATGATTATGTTACATATCATATAATCATGTGATCAGAATATAATTATTATAATATTTTATAGTAATTAACATTAATATGACAATATATTATAGATTAAATTTAATCAGTTAATATTGATTAGTAAAATAATATATACTATCTAGATTATAATGTCCGACCTATTTTTATGCACCAGTGTCAATTTTATTGAGATATTCAGATTTGAAATCTCAGGAGTTAATGTATTAACAATGAATAATTGCCTATATCATAACATTCTTTGATGAGTATGAGTTTGTCAAAGATACTGCATTTAATTTCCATATTAATTTATTTTTTTGTAAGATTCTTGAAGTTTGGAAGGAAAAATATACTTTGGCTTATTTATTCAGTAAATCTTATAAGGTTAGTTTGGCTTCTTGTGGGGTTCTGGATTGAGCATGGTGTAAATTTCATTTGATTGCTGAGAAGCTTCTGAAAGGGGCAGAAACAACACAAAACAACTTACTAATCAAGGAACAGTAATGTCTATATCATTTTTGATAGCTGTATTTTTACAATGATCAAACTGGGCCAGAATCTAGGGCACTAAAATGAGCCAATTTAATTACTTTAAAAATGTTGCAGATAAGAATCCCAATATGTGACCAAAAAAGGTGTTTAATATTTCCCTCAGGTTATTTGATACTCACAATATATAGATTAGAAAAGAAAAAGATWTTTTTTTGTTTGTTTTTGGTTCTAGGAATTTAGCCTGGGGGTACTCAACCTCTGAGCCACATCCCCAGCCCTTTTTATTTTTTATTTTGAGACAGGGTATCCCTAAATTGCTTAGGGCCTCACTAAATTGCTGAGGCTGGCCTTGAATTTATACAATCCTCCTGTCGCAGCCTCCAGAGTCTCTGGAATTACAGGAGCGTACCATTGTGCCCTTTAAACTGGTTCCTCAGTTATCATTTCAAGATTTCTTTCTCAGAGTGTTTTTGTTCACTATGGAGTGAAAAGATAAGGTGTTGGCTGTCCCTTAAAATAAGCTGTTCTTGCTAGAATTCATCCTGACACTTGCATTTTATGGTTCCATCTGATCTTGAAAGAGTCACTGTAGTAGTTGCTTATGTTGATCTTCAGTGAACACAAAGTATGACATTTATAGTTCAGGGAACTGAACAAGGTCTGCTTATTTGGTTCCTGTTGTCTTTTAGAAAGTAGGTGGCAAATGATGACTTTTGTGGTTATAGCTTTTATATTTCAGAACACACCTAAGTCCTAATTGTTTCTTTTCTTGTGGTAAAATAAACACACTACWCTGACCATTTTAAGTGTCCAGTTCTCTGGCAGTAAGTGTATTCCTAATGTTAAACACCCATCTTCTTCCTAAGCACCCTTGCCTCTTTCTAAACTGAATTATGTCCATAGACCATAAGTTTCCAATTCCTCACTCCTCCCCACCCTGGCAACCACCACTGGACTTTAGGTCTCTATGAATTAGGCTGTTCTGAAAATCTTAGGTAAACAGAATCATATAAAATTCATCCTTTTACATCCAGCTTACTTCATTCAGCATAATGTTTTCAAGGTTCATATGTGCTTTGGCATGTGTCAGAATTTGATAATATTCCTTTGTGTACACATATGATATTTTATTTACTTTTTTGTCAATCAAGGAACATTTGGTGGTTTCCATTTTTTGATTATTGTAAATAATGTCATTATAAATCCTAGTACATAAATATCCATTCAAGCCCATTTTCAATTCTTTGGGAGCATGTACCTAGAAGTAGAATTGCAGAATCATATGCTTAATTACTTTTTCTTCTTTGAGGAACCCCTATACTGTCTTCTAYCTAATTATGTCACATGTTTTAGCTGGGGAGGAATGATAGGCGAACATGAGCTCTAATATTGGAAACACACCCAGGTTCAAATATCAGCTCTGCCACATACTATTGATGTATGTGTTGTTATGAGAAAAATCAAAGGGGAAGTAGCCCAATGAACCCTTATCAGACTTTAGAGTCACTTTGACTAATTTCAAGGTTTTCTAAAGGTTTAACTAAGTGACTTTATCACCTCTATGTTGTATATATTTTCAGAGTACCATGAAAAGTCTCAAAACCTAAATAACTCCTAATGAATTAATTTGGGGGGTCTATTGGGTAATTTATTCAACCTCTATGAACTTCACTTTCTTTCATATGTAAAACACAATAGGGCATACTTCAATGG